TAAGTGAAGTAAGCCAAACCCAAAGAAACATAGGTCCCATGGTTTCCCTTATTTGCAATATCTAGTATATGTATGAGTCAAGCAGAAAAGGTCAGATAATATGATGTTAGGAAAATGAACCCTTCGATATGTATTTAATTGTTTTTTTTCTTTCATGCATTTGTTTCTAACTCATTTATAAGATTATTTCTTTGTTGCTTTGTATGTCCCTCCCCCACAGTATAATCCCTGCTTTCACTGTATTTGATGTTGGTATAATTTGTGGAGGAGAAGGGGAAAAACAAGTTGTTTAAGGTTACAGGTGGACCCATTGCAACAATGAGAAGTACAAGTTCTCATGTCGAAAATGAACTTTACAACTTTGGGGGGGAGCAGATTGCGTGGGTGCTGGGGGGAGACTGGGAAGGGATGTGAAGGGTAAACAAAGGAGGAGGCTGCAATGCTTGATAAGAAATGTACTCATTATCTGGCCCATGTAATTGTAACCACTCTGTACAGTATGTTCACAATAAAAAAAGAAGAAAATAAAAGAAAACATCTGTAAAATTATTCAGAGAAATCCTTCATGGCAGAGGTAAGCTAGGTGTGATGGGAAACCATTCTTCACTCTTCAGCTCTCTAAGCCAACATTTCTCATCGTTTCTTGTTGAGTGGGGATTGTGTCATTCAATATTATCCAAAGCATGTAGAAAAAGCCAGTCTCGACAAGTAATTCAGAGATTGAAGTTATTAACTTGTGTCTTTTATACTAAGGAATAGTTTGTTAGGGTAATTTGATAAACTCTTCTTAGAAAAATGAGCTCTGGCCCTTTGGGACTGGATTCTGATCATCCCCAACATGGTTAGGGGAACAATAGATGGGGAAAGACTGTTATGATAGGAGGCAAGAACATGAGAACAACCAGTTTTCTACTGGTCCCTTATGTCTCCCTCTGTATGTGTGATCTATGCATTATAGTACAAATGACTTACTTATTCCAGTTCATTTTTGAATGGAAGATCTGATGGAAGATATTACTCCTTATTGCTGTACATCCATAGTAGTAAAATCTTTCTCAGAGCGGTAACAAAGCTTGATAGGAAATGTATTCATGACTTCCTCATATAATTGTATAATCAATCTATACCGTATCTTTACAATAAAAATTCAAAAATGTGGTGGATAAATAAAGACAAGAGTCTGCATTTTGTCTTGTGGGAGAACCCCAAAATGTCTTCAGTGCTTGCTTTTTTCTTTAATTAAGTACTGGTGATGAACAACTTGTGATTGATTCATTCTTAGCCCATTTAGTTGTTCTGCTGAGTGAGCTGTGATAAAACACCAGTGTGGACGATGTGATGTGCCTGCATTTTCTCAATGTTCTAGAGGCTGATTACAAATTGTATTGCCCTTACTTTGAAATACAATATGATGTTACATATTTTGTTTGTGCAATGAGTATATATCCATGCCATGAGTATATATCCAAAATCCAGAACACATATATTTCTGAAGAGGGTATCTTTTTTTGTTTTTGGCCCAGTTGTGGGGCCTGAACGCTAGACCTTGGCACTGTCCCTCAGCTCTTCAGCTCAAGGCTAGCGCTCTACCACTTGAGCAACAGTGCCACTTCTGGCTTTTTTTTTTTTTTTTGCTTATGTGGTGCTGAGGAATCGAACCCAGGGTCTCATGTATGCAAGGCAAGCGCTCTACCACTGAGCCATCTTCCCAGCCCAGAACACATATATTTCTTTGATATGAGAAGAAGGCTTTGATTTGCTATCTCATAAAGGACCAAAATAGATAAGACATTAGGCGAAATAAGACATTTTGCAATCAGTCACAAAAATTTAAGTTAACAAAAAATAAAACTATCTGCCACTTGAGCTATAGCATTACTTCTATGCCGAATGGAAGGAAGGAAGGAAGGAGGGAAGTGAGAGAGGGAAAGAGGAAGAGAAGGAAGGAAGAAGAAGGAAGAAACAACTATTCAAAAGAAGAATCTTTAATATTTGGTGAATGTGAGAATTATTCTTTCAGAGGTAGGGCTCAAGAAAAATGGTTTTTACATAAAGCAAATTCTTGAACTGTTTAGATAATGATACAGACACTGTAACATTTTATAAATTGATTTACTAATTCAGTAATATTAAGGAAGGAGGTCAGGTGTGGCTGGTGCCCTATTGGCCACATGGTGGACGGTGGGGTCTGGTGTCTAGTTTTCATGCAGGTGGAAGGAAAAGCCCCATCCATCACTTGCCTCCCCACTGATGGGTGTGGCTGGATCCCTGCAAGCAGGCATGAGCATTTGGCTGATATGTTACTCAATCTGTTAGTCCAGTAGCTGGAGTTCAAGCTTCAATAGTAGCTCAAGAAAACCATGAGGTATGTGTATTGCATGTGTTTCTAAGTTAGAAACCTAATTGTAGTGATACTAGCAAGTCTTCATCTCAGATATAAAGGGGAAAGAAGATGAGTAGAGGAGGGAGAGAAGGGAAGCAAAAGGTCAGGAATAAGAAGGAAGAAGAGAGGACAAGAGAGTAGTGGAGAGGAAGGGAAAAGAAAATGAGGAGAAGGAGAGAGGAGGGGAGGAAAGCTTCATGGCATCAGATTTGATAGTAACTGGTCTGGGAAGATTGCTCAGTGGTAGAGTACTTGCTTTGCATGCATGAGACCCTGGGTTCGATTCCTCTGCACCACATAAGCAAAAAGTTGGAAGTGTTCCTTTGGTTCTATTTGTAATGTACTCACCTTGATAACTGAAGAGCTGAGCAACAGCGCCCAGGCCTACAGTTCAGGACCCACAGGTGAGCAAAAAAAGAAAAAAAATGAAAGGAAGATTTGACTCTAACCCCAGAAATACAACTCCAAAAGTACCTCCTGGAAAAAACAAAGAAACAAACAAACAATGTGAGTCTCTGGTGGATCACACCTGTAATCTTAGGTAGTGAAGAGGGTGAGATCTGAAGATCGGGTCTCAAAGTCAGCCTGGGTAGGTATAGCTGTGAAACTCTTACTTTCAGGAAATCACCAGAAAACCGGAAGTGGTGCTGTGGCCAAAGTAGAGTGCTAGTCTTGAACTTAAGAGCTGAGGGACAGTGTTCAGGCCCAGAGTTCAAGCCCATAACCTACAATGAGTAAATAAATAAATAAATATGTAAATAAAAAAATGAAAACCTTGTATATTGAAAAACACTAACAAAAAAGAAAAAATAGCATGGTATGAGAGAACTATTTGCATACCTCTAAAAAGATTGCTAACCAATATGAATTAGAAAATACAAAGAAAATCCTTCAAGTAATCCACAAACAACAAAATCTAATTTTAAAATGGGAAAAAGATTGAAGAGACTTTTCTAAAAAGGACATATACGTGTAGTTGATTAAAATATGAAAGTAGTTTAATATCAGTAGTCATGAGAAAAATTCAAATCAAAATTCCATTAAAATAACTATTTTACTAATGCTAGTATGGACATAGTTTTAAATAAAAACAACAAAAATACTCCCAAAGTCTTAAAAAACCTAGGAAAGATGTGAAAAGAATGTGAACCTTGGTGCATTTCTCTCAGGTATGTAAAACTATCAAAGATGAAGCCAGGTGCCCATGGCTAACACCTGTAA